CCCCTTGGGTTGTCTACTTTCCAAAAAAAAGGATCATTTGGGGAGTATGTGTACTGTCCTGGCCTCAAGAAATCAGATAGGCAGTTGGTACATCAGGATTGATCAATTTTCAGTGATACGTACCATAGCATGTGGACTCTATAACTTTCACACAGACTAAAAAATATACATTGATTTGAAAAAATTACTTATTTGCAAAACAGAAAAATGCGGATTTTCAAAATGTTTGGACTTTCTCTGCTTATATCGCAAAAAATAAAAACCCAGTAGTGATTAAATACTACAAGAAAGCTCTATCTGTCTAAATAAATAACAATTTTGTTTGGGGTGCAGTGTTGCATGACTGAGTAATTCACAAGTCCTGACAAGACTGAGTGAAGTAACAAGTAACAAGACTGAGTAAAGTAACAAGTCCCTTTAATTGTTCATAATACCTCACATAAAAACAGCCAAAGCATTTTTTAGACCCTCCCTTCATCAGCCCTAATGTCCTGCAGAGGTTGCTAGGGGTTCCTTCAACAAGGAGCAATTTCTACTTCTCAGATAAGTAACCACTGGTGTAAAAAAATTCTGTTTAGCTATCTGTAAATAGAGATTCTTCCTGCTGATTACACATGTAAGGAGCACCCTTTCACAGACCATCTTGCTAATGTAGCAGGGGTTCCCTGAGACCCTAAAGTTATTTTAAGGATTCAATAGTGATTAAAATATGAGAAAAGCTAATTAGAAAATCGATAGAGAAGTTTGGGTTTAGCAAACGGCAGTACCGTTAGAGTGTTCATACACTTTGAGTTCACAACATGCCCTGCAATTCACATGCAGTTCTGTGTAGTGTGATTTCAGCCCATTCATTTGGAATGGCCTAAAATTGCACTGCAATTCGGCATGTGCAAACACACTGCATTTGCAACCTGTGTTTGGCGTGGCAGTAACTTACTACTGACACTCGCTGCAGATCGTATTTTGAATGTGGTTCGGGAAACGTACATGGAATATGGGTTTTCTGCACCGTGATCTGGTGTGAACCTGCCCTAAGAGCTCATTCACACTTGTGGATGGCAGCTGAGCTGTGATTTTAAACATCCCCCCCTCACTTAAAGTGGTTGTAAACCCTCACACATGCCCAGTGAAGTGACTTGCCTCAGGTGATACACAGAGATTAAACAAATCCCCCTACTTATCTATAGCCGTCTTTCCCATACGTCCATTCAAAGTGCAGAATATACACAGGATCTATCAAGTCTGAAAAGCAGAAGGTGGAGAGCTGAAGTTACATTAGTGAAAAGAGCTCTGAGAGCTGATTGGAGGGAAGGAACACCCCCCCTAAACACAGCTCACAGGAACAGAGCTAAGGCTGTCAATCTGCTGGAGTTCCCTTCTGTCACCATTTTTTTTCTTGGTGTCAGGAAAATATCAGAAGTGTTTCATGCTGATAGCAGGGGAATAGGACATAAATGACACTTAGTGCTCTTAATTGAGAGAAATACACACCATAAAGGGATATGCTTTTTTTTTTCATATTAAATGTCTGAGGTTTTCAACCACTTTAACTCAACACAGTGACTGGAGGATACTGTACAAAAATTATACCCCAACGTGTCCAGCAGGCAGTAATGCCACTGAATGCAATCCATTGAAAGCAGAACTACACCTAAACAGGGAAGTCCCACTTTTATACTCCTCCCCCTCCTCTACCACTTTTGGAAATTTGTATTTTTTCCTGGGAGTAGGTACCTAGTTTTGACAGGTACCGACTTCCACTTTTGCTCTGACTGCCTAGGCAATCGGAGTGGAAGATCTACCCCCAACCATCTCCCTGCAAGAGACATGCTATGTGTCTTCTGCATTAAAGTTACGTACCTGCTTGTCCACCCCTGTACAGAACTGCACACATGCAACTCATTGTACAGATTTGCCAATACTGAGCTGACTGAACTCTCACGCAAGCGTGAGACTGACGTCATCTTGTCCCGTCCAACGAAAGTGGCTGGTGATCAATACTCAACTTTAAAGCAGAGTTCCAGCTGAAAAAAAAAATAAAAGTCAGCAGCTACAAAAACTGTAGATGCTGACTTTTAAAATACAGCCACTTACCCACGACCCGTCTTCTCTCCCTGGAGCCGGCATCTTTAGTGTGGGCACCTGGCTTTGACAGCTTGCGGCTTCACAGTCGGGTGCCCACTGTGCATGCACGAGAAACACTGCTCTTTGTGAATGGCCCTGTAGTCTTCTGGGACCTGTCATGTGTCCCAGAAGACTACGGGGAGGGAGGACAACTTCCACTTCCGATCGCCTTGGCGATCGCAGCGGAAGTGAGAGCGGGTACCTGTCAAATTCGGGTATCCGCTCCCCAAAGGTGCCAATCCTTAATGGGAAGCGGGGGACAAAGCATTAAAGGGGAACTTACCCTTTTGGGTGGAGCTCCACTTTAAAGGCTTGTTTACACTTGCTTCAAAATGTGGTATTGGACACACTTTTTTAAAGCATTCTGAATGCCAATCAAAGCATCTGTCGCTAAATAAACTGGAAAGTTTACAGTCCTGTTTATACGTTGTGTTTGCTTTGCATTGAGAATTATACCCCATGTTGCTTTGTTGGTGCTGCAAAGAATCTCCAAAGCCCCCATAGAAGTCATTAACAGCACCTGCAGCTTTGGAGAGGCTTTTGTTCAACTTTAGCTTTGCTTTGTTTTGTAGGTATTGCAGTTAAGAGATATCCCACTATACACTGGGAAATCAACAAGCAAACCTTCTGGAAGTGTCTGGTTCAGATGTCACATGGTGTGACTGAAAGGGTTAATACCTCCTGTCCTCCTTACCAGCTACCTCAGGATCCTGGGAATAATGCAATTGACACACAGGTATCCTTCAAACAATTATTCAGCCTTTACTACAGTGAGTTTGTTCTTTAATACACAAACATAGAAAAAGGGTGGATCATCAAAGTAACCAATCACTATCTAACACAAAACAAATTATTCATATGTAAATGAGGGGTTACTGTATCAGCAGCTGTACCATACAAAACATTTCCCTTTACACAGAAATAAGAGGTCATTCTTGGGAAAATAAAACTAGATGCTCAACTTACACAGAAAAGGAAAAATCTGAATTGTAACTATTACATTTATACATGAAATGGAGACAGTATAACAAAATGAATACAACGTATGTACATATTTTTTCCTTCAGTGACGGTTTCATGCTTGTGTGCAGGAAGGTGAACAGGGTCCAGACTGGAGAGGAACAACTAGCAGACGGCACATGATGTGCAATATGGGAAAACTATAGCGGAAGGTGAGCAGGGACTAGAGAGGCAGAGGATCAGCAAATCTGGGGGATCAGAGCAGGAGAAACTAGAAATGTCACATGTGGTGCACAGTGTGGGAGCAATATACCAGAAGGCGAATGGGAACTGGAGAGAGAGGAGGATCAGCAAACCAGAAGATCAGCAAAGCTGAGAGATACTACTGAGTGGGGGATCAGCAGAGCTGATGGTTACTGTTGAGTGGGGGGATCAGCAGAGCTGGGGGTTACTGTTGAGTGGGGGATCAGCAGAGCCACCTCATCCCTTTAAAACCAAACACATTAATTACACATGTTCTGTTGCTGATTAAGGTGGTAACTCACTTAGTGCCTTATCTGCAATAAATTAGCCTCAGAACCTGTGTCATCAATATGTATTTGGTTTTAAAGGGATGAGGTGGGAACCCTAACTGGAGTCTTGGCTATCCCGGGAATCCCTCTCCTCATTGGCTGAGACTGGCTCCCAATGCTGTCAATCAGCCAATGAGAAGAGAGAGGGGGAGGGACAAGCCACGGCTCTGTGTGTGAATGGACACATGGCACAGCAGGCTTGGAGTGCCCATGCGCCTGCATAGTATGCTGCTTGCTGTGGGGTCACCCAACAGGAGCGCCGGCAGGGAACCTGAGAAGAGGAAGATCAGGGCTGCTCTGTGCAAAACCATTGCACACAGCAGGTAAGTATAACATGTTTTTTTTTTTTTTTAATGTAAGCCTTTTGAATTACTTCAAAGTTGAAGCAAGTGTAAATGAGCCCTAAGTGAATGGGGCTGCACTGCAGGCTTTTCAGGTTTAAAACAGGTGTTGAGGAGGCAACGTATCACCTAACAGCCACCTGTAAACTGCCCTCTGAAAAGTGATTCACTACTGATCACTAATCAGAAGGGCGGCAAAGCCTGCCGCTAGGCTAACCATCAACTGCACCTGTTTTGAAAATAAAAACACAGTTGAGCACACTAATTAAATCAGTATAAACACTATACTATTAAACCATGTGTGCCATCAACATAATATTAGAACACTGTGTTCACCACATACAAGCAGGAATTTGTATGGACATTTTTGTTCACACACAACCTCAGCCTGCATTTTGAAGAAGTCTGGGGCACTACTGGCCTTACTACTCAGTAGCTGGAATCCGATACAAAACCGAGGTTACGTTTCTGCTGCACTGACCGTTGTGAACAATGGAGATGTAAAGGATCACCAGGTTTACATTGCTGTCCATACTTCTATTATGCTCTGACACACACACCAAACACGCTCTGTACACAGACTGAAGATCACATGATCTGACGCAACCTTTCTCCAGGAACTTTTCGGTTGTCACTCTTGGAATATTCCATTTCTCAGGCAGGAGTGGACGTAGTTTGGATGTGACGCTCTTCTTGGGTTTCACTAGCGATATATGTTGTTACCATACATGCTTTTGCTCCAATAACAATGTACTGTCCCTATGGGAATGATTTGAGTGACGTGTGGTGTAAGTGTACGGTTGTGTCCACCCCTCTGTTCGGGGGCGGTTGGTTGGGTCCGGTGGAACGTTCTGTTCTGCCCTTTTTGGGGCGCTGTGAAACGTCATCGCAGCTTGTTTGTGCCAAGGCTGCAGAGCGAGAAGCGGCAGCCGGGCCTTGGCTCCCGACAGCTGCCTTAGCCCGCCGCCCTTGTCCCTTTCTCCGTCCGCCTTGAACCAGGGCCATGTCCACTCCGGCCAGGAGGAGGCTTATGAGGGACTTCAAGAGGTGAGTGACCTCCAGCCTGCCCCCCCCCTCCTCCATAGGACAGCAGGAAACTTTCATGGTGAGGTCTCCCCAGATCCATCATGGGTGACTGTCGACTTCCAGTGCCGATTAGTATTCATGTCGGAGTTCACAGCACCATCTGTCCTCTGCCACCATCCCCACCACACTATAGAACCCACGTCTGCCTTATGGGGCTGCCCGCATGGGCTTACCAAGAGTGCTCTGCATTCCCATTATATAGGTCAGAGCAGTCCCAGTAGTTTGGCTTGTTGGTTGCAGCTGAGATCTCTTTCAGGCTACATGTATGAGACTAATGGAGTTCAATATACAGGCTCTGGGCTATAATAGAGTTTTTTTTTTTTGTTCTTTCTGTAAAAACAGTGGGCCGCAACACGACAGAGGTTCAATAAAGCATTTGTCGTGCAGTTTTTTGCGTTACTTTCCCTTCAGAACAACCTTCATGAAAGCCTTAAGTCAGTTTCAAAAAGTTCAGGAGCCTATGTCAGAGATAGCCACTGTACTCATTAACGGATGTGATTTGAGCTGCCATGAGATGGCACAGATTACAGACACACAATGCCTGATGAAGGGGTCCTGCGAGACTCCGAAATGTTGCCTTGCTGTAACTATGTAAACCTTTATTAACGCCTTTTCGGACCCACATTGGAGATCCTTGGTGTGCTGGTGACATTTCTCTCCGGTGATCATCACAGCTATCACAATGTACAGAGCCGCTTGGACTGGCTCTGTACATTGTGATAGCCGTGATGACCACCGGAGAGAAATGTCAGCGGCACACCAAATATCTCCAATGTGGGTCCGAAAAGGCTTTAATGAAGGTTTACATAGTTACAGCAAGGCAATGTTTTGGAGCCTTGCAGGACCCCTTCATACAGCCATTTCGTGCAGGAAAGTGCGTTGGGATTGTGCATGTTCATTTGTGATGATCAGTCGCAAATGTAAACATTGTATTGTTTACATCTGAAATCCCTCTCCTTCCTCATAGAACCAGAAGAAGAGGAAGTGAGTATTTATCAATAGAGGTTTGTGAATAAAAGAATCATCATCAGCAGTTAATTCATGGTGAGGCCTTGTAATTGATTGAGGGTTTTTTTTTTTATATAACTATTTCATCCCCCTCTTGCTTTGAAAAATGCATCTCCATGCATTCTCTATGTGATCTGTATATTTACTACCTACCACTTGACCTCTGGAAGGTTTTACCCCCTTCATTATCAGGACATTTTTTTTGCTATTCAGCACTGTGATTCTTTAACTGGCAATTGCTCAGTCATGCAACACTGTACCCAAATGAAATTTTTATATTGTTTTTTTTCACACAGATAGAGCTTTCTTTTGGTGGTATGTGATCACCACTGGGTTTTTTAGTTTTTATGATATAAATGGAAAAAGACCAAAAAGTTTTTCGAAAAAAATACCCACATTTTCTGTTATAAAACGCATCCAGTAATAAATCAGTTCTCTACTTTAAATATAGGCCTAAATGTATTCTTCTACATGCAGGTATGTTCAATTCGTAACGCCCGATGCCCAGGACATGCGGTTCCGGGCGCCAGGCAGGTTTTTTTTTTTTTTTTTCTATATGTTTAGCCCTGCTGCGGGCAAGCAGCAGGGCTCACCTGTCAGGTAGAAGTACTCAGGCGGCAGTGCTGCCACCCTATTGCTTCCACACTGCCCACTATGATGCAAGCCTCCACCTGCCCACTATGTCTCCCAGGCTCTGCTTGCCCATCTGGGGCCCAGGACCAGTTCAGTGGCTACCAGCATGTATAGGGGAGAGAGGATAGTGGACACATCCGCTCCTCTCCCCTGCTTGTTTTGATCGGGGAAGTGATGTGATGTCACTTCTAAGTCCCTGTTGACAGATTCCCAGCCATCGAGGCCAGAAAAGAATGTAATGCGGTGCGATGTGCACTACATTACATTCAGTGGAGCACAGGGGAGACATTCAGGGTCTTTGGACCATGCATGTCTCAAAAAAGAGAACCTGTCACCAAAAATCATCACATAGGGGACACTTTGTCCCCTATGTGATTAAAAAAAAAAAAAGTTACATATCACCGCACACGCCAGAATGTTAGAAATAATGCTAGCACCATTCCTCCTCCGTAACGCTAAACTGCTGACCTATAAGGGGCTTTAAAAGCAGAAAATATAGGGTTACTAAAGTTTGTTGTCATTTCACGAGTGTGTGCAAATTTAAGGTTTGACAAGTTGGCTATCTACTCGATGCAACCTTTGTGATAATGCGGTGAAAGGGGGTCCCCCTCCTGCCATGGACTTTACCAGGCTCTCCCATCCAATCAGGGAGCCCGGTAAGTATGCATCCAGCTCTGGGCATACAGTGAGAGGAACTAATGTTGTTCTTCCCACTGTGTGATGTAAGAAACAGTAAGCGATGAGGATTTTGTCACTTCCGGTTTTGGTTTGTTGTTTACTGGCCAGTTATCAGCCAGTGTAGCAGCCAATCGGAGTGATCTGTGTCTAATCAGATGCATTGGAGGCCATCAGAGACCTGTTATGGCCCATGCTATCACAAGGGCTGTTGTTCATCCCTAGTGATAGCAGTAAAGTTGATTAAAAAAAAATTAAAGGTACAATGTTTTAAAAAAATTAAAGGATTTTTAAAGCACCCCTGTGCTCACGCTCAAAAGTAAATGTGCACATTGGTCCTGTAGGCATAGATTGTAAGCTCCAAGAAGCAGGGCCCTCCTATTCCTCTTGTATTGAACTGTATTGTTGCTGTATTGACTTCCAATATATTGTAAAGCGATGAGCAAACTGTTGGCGCTATATAAATCCTGAATAATAATATCTTGTGGCATAAAAAAATTGGAACTACCGCTATTTTATTCTCTAGGGTCTCTGATTTCATAAAATATATAATGTTTTGGAGTTTTCTGTAATCTTCAGGCCTTTAAAAGATTTTTTAAAAGTGTGAAAAAAAATGAAAAAAAACGGCTCTGGCAGCAAAAGGGGTAAAGGATGAGCCGGACACTCCCCTTTCCTGATGAGCACCCAGTCAGTGCTCATTACAATGCAAGGTCTCTCCCCTCCCTCCTAGTCCCCGAGTGTGGTGCTGGAGACAGGCAGGGAGGGGAGGAGGAGATATACAGTGCAATGTTAAAAATATTAAATGATTAAGTCATCATAAAGCCCCTTTTGTTTTTAAAAGCCCCAGACATTACTTAACCACTTGCCCTCCTGAGGATTTACCCCCCTTCCTCACCAGGCCATCTTTTGCATTACGGCGCTTCGTTACTTTGACTGACAATTACGTGGTCATGCAACTCTGCTCCCAAATGAAATTTATGTCCTTTTTTTTTTTTTCTCCCACAAATTGAGCTTTCTTTCGATGGCATTTGATCGCCTGTGCATTTTTTTTTTTTATTTTTTGCGCTATATAAAAAAAAAAAATAGACCAACAATTTTGAGAAAAAAAAACTATTTTTGACTTTGATATTAACTGCTTCCCACCCGCCCGCAATGTATTGCCGGACGGCAGCTACAGGCAAAGCGACATACTGGTATGTCTCTCTGGCTGTACTAACACAGCTCGAGTGGGTGCGCAGTGCTCCGCCTCGCGACTGCTGTAGTACAATGTTACTATGGTAACATTGTACTAGTCCGATAAAAGTATTAAAAAATAATTTAAAAAAAAAAAACATATTGAGAATTTTTAATGTTTTTTTTTTTTTTAACTACTTGCCAACCGCTTACCTGCATTTTGCGGGCGAGCAGCAGCTCTTGGCAAAGCGACATAATCTTGCGTCACTGTTTTGGGGTGTGAACGCACCTGCGTCCCCCCCCTGCCCCCACCCGTTGGTCTAGGGAGAGCAGGGCGAATAGGGCACCAAGTTAAAGCACCACTACATTTTACATACACGTTAGATTAGCACATTTAACCCTTTGATTGCTCCGTCACCCAGCCAGTGCCATTAGCACAGTATCCGTATATAGAATTTTTCACTGATCACTGTATTACTGCCATTAGCGACATCAGATAGCGTCAGGATCAGTTAGCGCCCCTCCCAGTCAGGGTCAGCTAGCGTTAGATTGCCCACACACATCGCCATTACTAGTATAGTGTTTGTACGGATTAAGATATTGATCACCTACAGAACTTTATTAGTGCCTCCTTTGTATAGCGTCCCCAAAAACGCAGCGTTAGCAGGATCGGCACCATTCGCTGCCAGCACTAGCGTTTAGCCCCTTTGCTGTTTTTCACAGATTTGTCACCACCCACCCAAATTCAGCTCTTGCCCGACTATTTGCATGGAAACCTATCATGGTTTCTGAATTTAAAACTCTTTTGGGCCAAACCTCGACATTGGCATTACAAGAAAGAATGAATTGCTGTCATATTGATCCACAGAGCCAATTTATCATATGCCCATGTTCTCTGCTGTTACATATATGCCCAACATGGACCAGCAATGTACTTTGAGTGATTATACCGGGATAATGCCTGCAGCTACAGACATCATTCTGGTACCGTTTTTTTCAGCTGGCGGTCGGTTTTCATGTAAAAGTAATCCTAGTGGCCAATTAGCTGATGAATTGTTTTTACGAGCAGTGGGAAGGGACATTCCACCCCTCCTGCTGCCTTCCACAGTTTTCTTGGGCTCTCCTGTCCCACAGGGGAATCCGAGAATGCAGCCGGCAGTTCCGCTGGCTGACCATAGAGCTGGTCAGAGACCAGAATGGGTCCAATCATCTCTATAGTCTAAGAAATCGGAAGCTACGAGCATTTAATCACTTCAGTTTCACAGGATATAAACAGCGCCATTTGTAAGTTGGGAGAGCTTCTGATCACACTGATCTTGGTGAGATTAGATAATGTAAGGGCAGAGGAGATATATAGAGTCTGATAGACCCCAGATTTCTCAAAAAAATAATCTATGCCAATGCCAATTGAAGTTATAGGTGAAATTTGCATTCCCTGTGATAGCATAAAAAAAAAAAATGAAAGGGATAGT